CCCACACCTACATCATTGTGCCAAGTCCCTTACCGGGCCCTGGAGACACAGGGGGAAGGAAATGGACACGTCCCTCCCCTCAACCTCTTCATTGGTAAAACAGGACTACCAATCCCCGCATCTCAGGGCTCTTAGTACACCAACGGGGGGAGACTATATGCAAAATGCTTAGTGTAGCTTAGTGCCTGGTGCACTATGGGAAGGGTTCAATAAGCATTCAAGTCCCAGGACACTCGGGAGGCATCAGTGTCCCCTTTGACTAACTAGCCTGAGCCACAGAGGTGACGTGACCTGCTTTAGGGCACCCAGAAACTTGCAGGGCCTGGATTTGAACTCAGGCGTCTAGATCCCAGGCCCCGTGTTTCTTCATTCAGCTCCTAACTCTCAACTGATTGCCACGGGCTTGTGCATCTTGAAGACATGGTGGGGAGTGATTCAATGGAGGCAGCTTACAAGTGGAGAGGGGGTGGGGGAGCCAGGACTGTCCTAATTAGTGGGTGGCAGTGCCAGGGTCCAGCAGCCCCATGGGTTTTATTTGCTGAGTAGATATACCGACAGGCAAGCCGACTCATCTCGGGATGTTTCTCCCAGGGGGTGAACGGGGCCCTGGGCAGAGACAATGCCTCTAGTTCACTCCCTCCAAATCCTCCGGGAATGAAGAGGAGAACAGATGCATACGTGAGCCGAGGAAGAACTGATTTCTTGGTTCATGAGGCCATTGCCTGGCCCAGCCAGCAACCACAAGTCCATCTGAATGGAGCTCACTTTCCAACCAGTTAATTTTTGAAACTTTTGAAAAGCAAATACATAGAGACATGAGTATTCCACTGTGTCCTAGGGCCCGGGTCTCAGGGAGACTTGGAGAGTGGCTCTTATTAGCATCAGGCACTGCCACCCCTGCCCTTGCCACCTGCTGGGGCCAGAAATACCCTGGGTCAGAGGATCAGTCACTCCCAAAGCAGTCACTCCCGGCTGGCAGGTGGGCCATCGTCAGAAGTGCCTGCTCGTGTCTGGGCGTTCTGGCTACGCTCATGTCCTGTCCGAACGCACACACGTGACAGGTGTGCTTTTGTCTTGGGGTGTCGAGTGGGCAGGATCACTGCATGGATGTGCGTGTGCTGGCTGATCGTGCCTGCTGGGCAGTCCGGAAGTGGGGTGGCCCAAGTGTCCTGGGTCACTAGGAGGTTGGGCCAGTGACTGTATCTCTGTAAGCCTCAGTTTTCCCATGTGTAAAATGGGCACAGTGACAATCTCCTAGGATTACTGTGAGGATTAAATGACAGCTGGCAAGATGGTGACAGGACGAAGCAAGCAGGCTCTCTTTCTGTCTGAAGAGACGATGCCTCAGCCGCACCAAGCATTCAGATGCTCATCCAGAAGGCAAGGGACTCTTCCTGGGAGACCGCCCTTCCCACCCAGCCCGGGCACATCTGAGTACGTGGCAAGGCTGCTCTGAGAACCAGAGGGACAGATGGAGAGAGCTCCGAAGCTGCCACACAGCGAGCAGGGTCCAGCCCCCGATGCCCCTCTGCCAACCCAGACCTGAGGGTCAGTCTGCAGAGCCAATTCTCATCGTCTCATTTTAACCTCCCCACAAGCCTTCGAATGCTCTAAGTCCACCTTCAGATGAGGAAGCTGAGGTTCAGAGCGATTCAATGACCTCCCCCTGGTTCCACAGCTGGTCAGGCCCCAAATCCAGGCCTGCCCCAGCACAACCCCAGTTCTCTCCGTTGGGCCATCCGTGAAGATGCTGGGGAGGGAGCAGCGACCAGGAAAGAGGCAGGAAGGCAGCTGCTTTGGGAACCATCCCTGAAAACAGAGGTGCAGGGACATCTCAGTGTCTCCCGAACCGGCCCTGCTCCCCAGAGGCCACCTGCCTCCCTCCACCAGCTTCCAGCCTCACTTCCGATTGCCACGGCCATGTGGAAAATGGTAATTAATTCAGCTGGATCCGTAGGGGAACAGAAGATTTGGCCTGCCTTACCGATCTGAAGTGATCGTGTAATTTATGCTAATTGCTGCCAAAGACAGGCCTTGCTCCTCTAAATGGAGAATCGGTCCTATTAATAAGAGCACGTCACTCCCGGTAATGAGGAGCCTGGCAGATGGTCTGCTGCATGGGCTGCGGGAAGGATGACAAGGAAAGGAGCAAAACAATGACAGCACAGAGAAGGACAACTTTTCAGGAGCCTCCCCCTGGTCAGGGGGAGCAGTTTTAGAGACCACGGGAGTCTGCAGCCACCTGGACCTGGAAGCTGTCAGAGGATGTGTTGACCAGGACCCAGCCTGCGTTGCCTGCCTGACTTCCTGCTCTCTGGCCTTCGCCACTGACCGTGGGGAGTTGAATTTCTTATTGCACATGGAGAGATAGATGTCCAGGGAGGCTGTGTCCTTGCCTAACCCAGGCTACCGAGAGGCAGGACTCAGAACCAGGTCTCACTGACAGCAAAGCCCATGCTTTCCTTTCCCCAATATGAGGCTGGGTTACCATCGGAGTCTGGCTTGCTGTTGGAGTCTAGGTTATTGTTGGAGGCTGGGTTATTGTCAGAGTCTGGGTTATTGTCGGAGTCTGGGTTATTGTCGGAGGCTGGGTTTTTGTCGAAGTCTGAGTTACTGTTCGAGTCTGGGTTATTGTCAGAGTCTGGGTTGCCATTGGAGGCTGGGTTATTGTTGGAGGCTGGGTTATTGTTGGAGGCCTGGTTATTGTCGGAGTCTGGGTTACTGTCGGAGGCTGGGTTACTGTCGGAGTCTGGGTTACTGTCGGAGGCTGGGTTATTGTCGGAGGCTGGGTTATTGTTGGAGACCTGGTTATTGTCAGAGTCTGGGTTATTGTCGGAGTCTGGGTTGCCATTGGAGGCTGGGTTATTGTCAGATTCTGGGTTGCTGTCGGAGTCTGGGTTATTGTTGAAGGCTGGGTTATTGTCAGAGTCTGGGTTACTGTTGGAGTCTGGGTTACTGTCGGAGTCTGGGTTGCTGTTGGAGTCTGGGATACTGCCTGGCATTATGGGCGGAGTGCACTGCCCTACCTTACACCCAGGCCTCGGTAATTGTTTGCTTTGGCAAGCAGAACACGTGGAAGATTAAAAATTGCCGAGCCCTGGAGTGTCGTCTCGTACACCAGAAGATTGTGTGTGGAAGGCAGCCCTTTCACACCCATGTTTCTCTTTCTCTCTCTCCCTGCCCCCCTTAAAAATCCAAGTTTTAAAAATTGCCCAAAATTCTTTGCCAATTCTCCCACCCAGAAGAGGAATCGATCTCCCCTTGGACCCTTTGAATCTGACCAGGCCTGCCGCTTAGTTTAACAACAGAACATGGCAGGAGAGCTGCCTTCTAGAATCTCGGTCTTCAGACGCCTTGGGTTTCACTCTTGCCATCTTAAAAGGCTGCCTGAGGACACCATCTAAGGAAGTCAGGCCTCGTGGGGGTGAAAGGTCTGGGAAGGGACTGAGGAGCCCGGGCAGCTGCCAGCGCCCACGGCTAGACAGTGAGTGGGATAGACTTGGATGGTCCAGGCATTCCAACTCTGAGGGCAACTGCCGAGTGAGACGAGGAGAGGAACTGCCTAGTCCCGGGGTCGGCAAACTGTGGTTTGCGAGCCACATGCAGCTCTTTGGCCCCTGAGTGTGGCTCTTTCACAAAATACCACGGCCTGGGCGAGTCTATTTTGAAGAAGTGGCATTAGAAGAAGTTTAAATTTAAAAAATTTGGCTCTCCAAAGAAATTTCAAATGTTGTACTGTTGATATTTGGCTCTGTTGACTAATGAGTTTGCCGACCACTGGCCTAGTCAATTGCCACCAGTAATCAGTTATGGCTGTTTTGAGCCATTGTGTGGGCAAGTTGTTAGCAGTGATAATTAACTGATACAGAATGCTAGTAAATACGATGTGAGCATGTGTGGCCTGGCCTGGCTCTGCGCTCTCGTTATAAACTGGAAGACCATGCCCCAGTGGCTGCTGCCCTTCAACCTCACCCGGACAAAGGCACGTAGAGCAGATCCGAGCTCAGCCTGCAGTCTGGGCCCAAGCCTGTGCCACTTACAGCCAGAAACAGGCTATTCGAGATCCTGGGCATGAAAATATCTGTTTGGGGGCGGTTTGTTATGTGGCGTCACTGTAGCACTAGCTGACTGATACACCCATCCTGCCTCTCTATATCCCACACGTTTTCATAGCAAGGACTGTGTTCTGTGTGAGAGACAGTCCCCCTGTTTTTCCCGAGAGAGGTTTCGGTGGCGATATAGGTATTATTGGTACAAAGCTGCAGAAAGACAGAACAAGGCGTTATGCAGTAGGAGTCAATGGCATTTCTGCAGCTCAGCAAAGCCATTTACTGGAGGGGATGAAGAGCTAAGGATGGGGAGATGCTGGGGGGACACACAGGGGCCCTCCCAGCAGGCCATGAGGCCCCAGGTGGATTATCTCTGGCAGGCAGAGCAGGAAAGGCAGGCAAAGGGTGCCTTTTTGACTTGCTCTGTCTCCACTGATGCCAGGAAGGGGAAACTCGTATATAGAGAGGGAAGGCACAACGCCCACCTTCACCAAAGCTCCAGATTCAGCCTCCTCAGTGGTTACTGCCTGACCTCTGACCCCAGGCTGGATTTTCCTGCTGAAAACAGCTCAGCCTCCCCAGGGCCTTCTGCATGGTGGTCCCAGGTTACCCAAACTGGGAATGGGACACTGTTTACTGATGTGGACAAACCAGGTGGAAAGAAGGCCGCTGAGAGCTGCAGGGGGCCTCAGGGGCCTCCAAAACGGTACGGAGAAGGTGGGGAGGCCCAGCGTGGTGCTCACACACAGGGCATGGCCCTTCCACACTGAACGCCGAGGATGGCACGGCCCCCTTGCCTGTGCAACCGAGAAAACAGCTCTGACCCCCAGCCCATGTCTAAAAGCTGGGAACACATTCACACATTCACAGACTCACGACCCCAGGTCCCAAACCTCTGGACTGGGGGTAAACGTGGGGAGGGGGTTCGCCGGTGACAGCAGCCAGACTCACCTTTCTCCTGCGCCATCTCATGCAGGCAGAAGTAGATGACTCTGGCTCCCAGGCTGAAGCCAATCAAAGTGACAGGCCGCCGGCCCTGGGGGAGGAGGACACGGGTGTCTGGGAGGGCACCCCGCTGGTTCTACAGAACACCAGCTCCGAAGGGGGCGGCCCTTGCCCACTCCTTCGGGCCTGCCATGAACGCGATGAAGGTGCACATGCTTCTCCCGCCCCCCGAACTCCGATGGCCCAGTCAGGAGAGTCAGGGCCCTCGTCACGCAGGAGCACACCTGACCCCGGAATCGGCTGCCTCCACGGCCCACAGGCAGCCGCTGGCTGGGTTAATTCTCTTTCACCTCAAACCATCATCCAGCCCCATCTCTTCTGCCCCCGGAGAAGGACTCATCTGCCTCGTGGCCACTGACTGCAGGGAGGTGGGGCCATTCTGGAGCCGGGAGCAGAGGGGGAAGGTACCCCAGATGCGAAGGGAAAAAGCAGAGTGACATGGGAGGGCCAGCTGTTCTCTCTCTAGACAGGCAGGTGGGACATGAAATACGGGCCTTACGTGATAGGAGTAGGGAGTCAAGTTAGACATAAAGAGGAACTTTCTGACTAAAGAACTAGTAGAAAAGGTAACACATAAGAAAAAGGAAGTTATTTGGGGTATCTGGGCACAGGTTCTGCTGGGAGCAGATGAGCTCCCAAGGCCCAATCCGGTCCCACCGGTCTATCCTTTTTCTTTGTTTTTGTGGCAACACATGTGCCCACCTCCATTTACTGCCATTAAATAGGACTCCAGCTCTGAGGACCCTGATGGCAGAGGCTGCTACTCAGCTCCCAACATCCCCCGCCCCCCCGTCCATGGAGACAGAACTGAGTTTTCCTGGCTCCAGCCACAGGCTACGTTTGTAACTCTCCTGTAGCGAGGGAAGGCCACAGGCTGAGCCGGGGCCAGGGGTGTGAAGGAAGCAACTGGTGTGACTTCCAGGCATGCCCTTCACTCCACTCGCCTGCCTCTGACGGTTTGGGACAATGTGGATGTAACCTGGGACATATCACGTGGTATAAGGACCACTGATGATCTGCTCGGAGGGGACCTCTATACTTCTTCTTTTTAAAAATATGTACATTTTGCCGGGACCGGTTTGGCTCGGTGGATAGAGCGTCGGCCTGCGGACTGAAAGGTCCCGGGTTCGATTCCGGTCAAGGGCATGTACCTTGGTTGCGGGCACATCCCCAGTGGGGGGTGTGCAGGAAGGCAGCTGGTCGATGATTCTCTCGCATCGATGTTTCTAGCTCTCTGTCCCTCTCCCTTCCTCTCTGTGAAAAATCAATAAAAATATATTTAAAAAAAAATTAAAAAAAAATAAAAATATGTACATTTTTATTGATTTCAGGAGAGAGAGATCGAAACATCAATGATGAGAGAGAATCATTGACCAGCTGCCTCCTGCACATCCTACCCTAGGCATGTGCCCTGACCGGGAATCGAACTGTTACCTGGCTCATAGGTCAACGTTCAACCACTGAACCCTGCCAGCGGGCGAGAGCTCCGCACTTCTCTGAAGAAACACCTGGCTTTGTCCTTCCCTGCGGTGCCTCCTTTATCCAGTCCTCACCTACTTACCTGCTAGGGATGCACAGTCCATAATTCTTACTGGTCTGTCCTAGGGTACTTTTGTGACTGGGGTCGGAGGAGCAGTGAAGACCACCCCCCTCCCCAAAGCCACTGGGCTCCCCCCACACAGATGGATTTAGGGCTGACGTCTGTGCCAGCCCCCTCATTCCCCTCCGGGCCCCCAACCACAGCCGTTGCCACATACCTGCTGCCGGGATAGCAGGACGTGGGCCAGGTGCTTGCCAACCTCTGCTGACCGATGGAGACAGACTCCCCAGGGGTTGTCGATGATGTTGGCGACAGAGAGGAGTGAGGCCGGCCAGGTCAGGGCAGCCGTAATGCCTGGGGAGGTGAGATGTCCGTGATGAAGGCAGTGGAGGTCCTTTTGGGGAAGGGGCTGGCTGGCTACTGGATGCCCGAGTGAGTGCGTGTGGCATCTCTGCCTTGGAACCTATAAGTTCTCCCAGTGTTGTCAAACCGCTACACAGCAAAGAAGAAACTTGAAGCTCGTGCGTTTCTGACACATGGCCTAGATCCCTTCTGTTCAGGCATCTGTCATGTGGGAGATTCCAAAGATGACCCCACTTTGTCCCTCCACCTGGTACCCTCCCACTTAGCCTGGTAACTCTGCAGTGTCCCGCCCCCTGCCCTGCCCCTCCACTGTGGGCTCAGCCATGTGACTTGCTTTGGCCAATGAGATGCTACTAGATGTGAGATTTCAAATGGACTTGTGCATGGAGGCCAGCCTCCCATGTGCTCCATCACTGGTGTGGGCTAGCCTGCTGACCCCAGGAGGAGGAGGAGAAACACATGGGACAGAGCCAAGTTGCCCTGATTGCCCCAGTCCAGGCTAGCTAGATCGGTGGACAGTCAGCTGACCCACAGATGCACAAGCAGACCCAGCAAAGATCAGCCAACTGCAGACTCATGACTCCAGAGCTATTATGATAAGTGATGGTTATTTTAAGTCACTGAATTTTGGGGTGGCTTCTTATGCAGCAATAACCAACCGATACATTATGGGATAATGGGATTGGCCATTTACCTGTCTCCTCTCCACAAAGACCCTATACTTCTCCCAGACAGGAACTCAAGTGTCTTAACCTCTCTATGTTCCTATGGGCCAGCACAGTGCCTGGCTCACCTGGGGCCTCAGGTACGCAAAGGTTTGGTACCACGTGGATTGGTAGCAGGGGGCATGCAGCTGGCGGTAGACAGGAGGACTTACCAGACAACACTGTGTACTTCAGGGCCTCCTGGGCCACGATGTTTGCAAGACCACTGAGGATGGTCTCCAGGGCATTGCCGAGCTCCATCAGGTACTTGGCCTCCCAGGCTAGGCAGTACTGCTCGCAGCTGCGTGCCAGGGCACCCCACGGAGCGCTGAAGGTGCCTGGGGAGGATGCAGGTAGGTGGGGTCTCTCCTGTCTGTGTTAGAGGATGCCCCACTCCACTTCCCCAGACAGGGGACCCCTCACCCTCGGGGATGGACAAGAGGCCCATGGTGTGTCCTCTATACATATTGTTGAGTGGGTGGATTTATTGATGGGTGGGTGGGTGAACAGGTGAATAGATGGATATTAGGATGCAGGGATAGTTGGATGGATGACTGATGGAAGGATAGATGATGGATGGATGGATGTGTAGGTAGTTGGGTGGATGGGTGAATGGATAGACAGTTGTATGAATGGATGATGGGTGACAGATGAATGGATGAGTAGATGGATGTGGAATGAAGTCTCCTTACTTCTCTGAGCCTCAGTTTCCTCCTCTGCAAAATGGGGCTCCCTTACCCACCCTCTAAAGACACACACAGGCCAGAACCAGGTCAGGCCCCCACAGCAGGCCTGCTCAGCCAACATCTACCCCCTCTACACCCTGGTCCACTCCACTCTGGTCCTCACGGTATTTGCCGGACGCCAGCCACCCTGTGATGGCGATGGTGATGTGCAGCTGCCTGCCTTCCGTCAGAGGCAGGAATGTGAACTCCTCAATGGCCCCGACACGCTTCTTCATCTTGTATCCTAAAGACCCAGACACAAAAATGAGAATGGAGGTGACCTGGGGTCCCCGGAGAGGGTTAGTCAGAGTGGCTCTCTGTGTTCACAACTCACACAGTGAGTGCCAGCCATGTGCCCTGCTCTTGAACACTTCTCTCATTTTCCAACTCACTAAGGTAGGTGCCATCATTGTCCCCAATTACAGATGAGGGCAAGAGGCTTCCAGAGGCTGGCCTGCCCCTGAGTGGCAGAGCTGGGGTTGGAGCTCACTGCCCAGGCTCATCACTACCTCTCCGTCCTGACTCAGTTGGTTCCATGTCATGTTTCCTGCCCACAGATTTCAGGGGTATAACACACTCCTTTCGGTAAAAGTGGACCCAACGGACCAAGATTCTCCATGTGGAAAGCGACAACCCATGTGAGGAGTTAGAGGATGCCCCATCCCAAGTCATATGTGTCAGCAGCCCCCCAATAGGAATATGGGGGGCTGCTGACACATATGACTGGGAAATGAAGAGCAGCCATGTGCTCTCTTACATGAGGAAGCCCAAGTGTCTCTGAGGAGGCCCGTCTGGAACCTTCCTAAATGGTGACAGGGAGGTCCAATGAGACCTTTCCCAGGACATCTATACAAGATGCATTTTCTCAAGCGAAACCCTTACATCGACCTGTGCTGAGCGATCGCCCAGTTCTCTGGGAAGCCTGCTGCTAGTTCCGGCAGGCCTGGAACCCAGCATGAGAAAAGCCGTGTGCTCCTCCTCCATCTCCCGGGGAGCCATCACTGGGGAGAATCTGGGTGGGTCCACCCTCCTCACGGCCCCCTCCTCTGGAACCTTACCTGTCAGACTAGCTCCAGCTGCACCGAACAGCGACGTCATGACAGCTATGCCGGCCACTGAGCCCAGAGCCGCTGCCCCAGCGCTGCCAATGATTGTGGCGGCCCCTGCGGCAATAAGAGGGGCAGCCAGACCCCCGGTCACTCCTGCAAAGAAAGCAGAAGTTGGGTAAAAGTGGGAGTGAGGACGTGGCCTGCTGGGTTATTCTCCCATCAGCTACCCACTGCCTTCCACAGAGGCACACTAATGAACACACTGCTGATGGAGCACCTGCTATGTGCCCGGGGACACCTGCCAGCCCATCTCCTCTCCACTCCCAGCCTGACATCCCCCGTCACTCTGCACTGCACTGACCCACGTGCCACCACCTCGGCTTGAGCTGGCCTTACCGATCACTGTCCCGCCTCCGACGGTCGCCAGGCCTATCAGGAGATAGCGCTTCCATTTCCTCCGGTTTTCTTTCTTCTTCCTGGATGCCTCAGCCGTTCTGAGGGAGAAGAAGTTGGTCCTTAGGGTCAGCTGTGCCTGGCACCCCTTGGGATCCCTCTGCCTCACCAACCCCCAAGCTGGAATCAACTCTGTCCTTCAGAGCAAGGTACCAAGGCCACCCTGGGCCCATCGGTGCTTTTAAAAAGCTGAAAACATTCTAAAACCCAGCTGGGGAATCCCAGTGTGTGGAATGCACTACTTACCCAAAGGATCCATCCTAACAGGGTTGCAATTTGAATGATGGGAAGACAAAAAATTAACAATAACAGTAAAAGGAGCACAAAAATATCTTTTCACAGATGGACCCGATGAGTACTGGATAGAATCACAGACTCCCTCACCTCCCTCCTTCCTCCCCTTCCCCGTGACATCTGCGCTCGCCTCCTTCTGGAATATTTGGAAACCAATTTCTTTCAGAATCATCACTTCAAAGATGGGTTAGAGACATGTCTGCTCTGGAGACCGTGGGGCAATAGCTAGAATCGTTCGGACGGGAAAGGTAAAAGCTATAAGATGTAGCAGGAGGGAAGCATTTAGAGTGATTTGGGTCAGTTGAATCCTGAGAATTGCCAATGCGAGTGCTCAGAGCGTCACTCAGCCTGTTTTCCTGACGGACACCCGGTCCTCAGTGCTTTGAGACACTAAGGAGTAGGACCAAGAGGTCATTAGGGGCACGAACTCTGAACTGAAGTTGGTGTTGGGACAATTCAACATGTAGAGGATAGCAGACGATGATGATAAAAGAAGAATGGTTATATTGATTGTGGAATTCCTGCATGTTTCATGTGGTTTATCTTATCCTTGAAGCTGTGTCACTATTGTCCCCATGTTACAAAGTCAGGGCTAAGATCCCCCCTGGAGGAGATGTGGGGATCGGTGAAGAGGACGTCTGTCAACCATGTGGCACCATGGCACACAGTGAATGCTGACTAACAGTGGCTCCTGGGTCTTCCTGAGCCTCAGTTTCCTCTTTTGTAAAATGGTGACAACAACTCCTACCTCTTAAGGTTAGTTGGTTTGTAAAGATTAAATCTATTCTTTCTTCATTCATTCAATCAACACACTGACTTAGAGTGGATGACCTGGGGGCCCTTCAGGTGCCAGGGATCGGCAGTCTGGACCAATATCTGTTTCCTTCCCATCTCTTCCCTCATGAACTGCATAAGATGGTGAGAAATAGTCCATCCTGCCCGGTCAGTGTGGCGTGGTGGTTGAGCACTGATCCACAAACTAGGAGGTCTCGGTTTGATTCCTAGTCAGGGCACATGCTCAACAAGGAGGGATAGCCGAGACCGGTTTGGCTCAGTGGATAGAGCGTCGGCTTGGGGACTGAAGGGACCCGGGTTCGATTCCGGTCAAGGGCATGTACCTTGGTTGCGGACATATCCCCAGTAGGGGGTGTGCAAGAGGCAGCTGATCGATGACTCTCTCTCATCGATGTTTCTAGCTTTCTATCTCTCTCCCTTCCTCTCTGTACAAAATCAATAAAATATATTTAAAACAAAAAACAAACAAAAAACAAACAAACAAAAAAAAACAAAAACAAAAAACAAGGAGGGATAATAACAATACTTAATTCCCAGAGGTATGATGAGAGTTCTGGGCAACAGTCCACATTCAACCCTGGCATGCTGTCATCTGTCTGGTGGTCTCAGCCTGCACTTCTAGACCATCAATTCTCAGGGGATGGGCTCTGGATCAACTGTATCAGAATCCCTGGAGGGTAGCCATTAAAAGCACAGCTTTCCTGGGCCAGAAGCTCTAGGCGTGAGGGTGCGGAAACCTAGTTTCCTAGTTTAAGAACTGCTGAGCCAGACCTTCAGGGCTCAGGCTGAGCCTTTCCTGCTTTCCACCCTCAGCAGCAGGCACTGGGCTAGGATGGGGAAGGTGCTCAGAAAGTGTTTCTTGAACAGAACCAAGTCATTCTGACCAGGATTGACCCTGAACCTCTTGCTACAGCGATCTATCCCCCATCTTGCAGTCCACATCTATGACAATCAGAGGGGCACGGGACAGAGCATAGGCCAGTCACCATCGAGAATGAAATCCTAGCTGACCAGTGTGGATCAGTGGTTGAGTATCAACCTATGAACCAGGACATTGACCTATGAACCAGGAGATTACAATTCAATTCCCAATTAGCGTATATGCCCTGGTTGTGTCTTTGTTTCTAGTAGGGGTGGTGCAGGAGGCAGCTGATCAATGATTCTCTCTCATCATTGATATTTCTATCTATTCTTCTCTCTTCCTCTGAAATGAAATCAATAAAAATATCTTTAAAAAAAAAAAAAAGAATGAAATTCTTGTTGCAATAGCTATGTATGGTATCAGGTAGGTACTAGAAATATTGTGGAAAACATGTGGTAATCTATATGATGGTCTATCCACTAATCTATCCTCTTGAAACTAATACAAAATCATATTGAATGTAAATTGTAATTTAAATAAATAAAATTACTTGAAATAGAATAAAATTCTGGGGTATTAGGACAAATCTGGAATGTTATGATTTTAATGATTACTACAGATTTGTTTTTAAGAACACAGTCACATTTTGAGCTGGTGCCCTTGACATCTGTCAGCCCCGTCTGCTTCTAGATGGTTCCTGCAGTGACATCAACACGTCTATACTAATCATCGTGTTTAGCTGAGCTTATGGAGGGGAGACTCATAGCCTCGAGGGAAGAAAAGAACTAAAAAGTAAAAATAGTTCTTGAGGCTGTTGTATCTAAAGGTGTGAATGCTAGTGTATCATATCCATTTTGCCAAGGTTAGATGGACCATTACTCTAATCTCCCGCATTCTGCTTTGTATTATGAGTGAAATGTTTATAAACATTTGCTGAGTAACTCTCTCCTGGCATTCACCTGAACTGCCAATGTACTTCCTTATTTATGTAAGCACCTGAACGTCCTTCATAACTGTTTACATAACACGAAGAGCTTTGCCAGTCATCATCAATTATCCCAGCGTTTTCCTCCTGCTATTACTTCCCTTGTCTGAATGTCAACATGGAAAGCAGGAGACATTCGCTCTGGTGACAGGGACGATGTGTCTGTCCTATAGTTGGAAGTGAGAGCTCTGCGCACAAATCCCAATTCAAACGAAGCTCTGTTCCTGCTATTGACTTTGCCTGTTGGTTAGGTACCATGGCAATCTCCGCCATCCTAGTCCCTGGTCACACAGGTTCTGGAATGCCAGAGAGGACCCTGAGCTGGCCTTCCATGTTTGCCTTCCGAAGACAGAGGCGGGCGTTTAAACACAGATCTGGGCCAAACCTCAGCTGAAGCCACAGATGCTTAACCAAGAGCAAGAGGTCACCCTGCCCTTCTCCTAGTCTCACACGCAGGTTTCAATCCCAGCCAGCTTATCTCCCTGGGAGGGTGCTCCTTGCCCAGTCATCCTCACCACACCCTCTTCTTGGTTTTAGTCACCTTCTCCAGTGGATGGAGATGAGAGCTTATCCCTGGGATATCTAGAGACACTTCCTAGTAAAAGCTCCAAAAGCTCCATAAAAGAACTACCTTTGCTGCTTTCTTCAGAATTAAGGAGGGAATCTGGGCTGGTCAATCATGCCTTGTGGGATGTGGCAGTGAGTGAGTGACGTGCAGACTGGATAGGTGGTTGAGTCAACTGAACACGGGTCACCTTGGGCAAGTTAAGTCTCTCCTCTGACTTCCTGTTTCTTCCCTGTGAAACCCTATGGAGATGGTTAGGAACACCCAATGTGGAGACCTCATGTGCCTACATCAAGTAAACACTCAATAGAGATTAAATGTTGACCATGTTCTAATGATGTGACCGGTGTCAACCTCCAGCAGGACTTTACCTATGTGCCAGACTATGTGCCAGGCCCTGTTCCAAGCTTTTGATATGTATTCATTAACTGAATCCTCTGAACTGCCTAATGATGGAGATTCTACCATTATCCCCAAGTCTGAGAGGGAGAAACCGAGGCACAAAGGAGCGAAATCATCAAAGAAACGGGGAAAACTTGGATGGCTTAAGGACTCAGACAGGGACCCAAGGACAGAAAGGAGGTACGTCACACCCTGAACCCCAGCTGCGAAGGATCACCTTGGGGTGCCGAGTGATAAGCTCACCTTGCAGAAACACAAAACCTTCGAGTTAAAGGAAACCTACATGCAATCCGATCCTCTGCTTGTATCGGCGATGAAGCTGGTGCTGGTGCCAGAGAGGGAAAGAGGCATGTCCAGGCCCACCCAGAGACTGGGCAGCGGAATCAAACCAAGCACCAGGCTGAACTCGTGCTATGCTTTTCCTGGGCCTCAGGTCCTTCCAGAGACCACAGACAGAACCTGAGGCTTCTCCAAAATCCCTAACATTGAATTAAAAAATTCCACACGTGGAGTATTTTTCTGAGGGAAGGGTTCATACATAGTAACAACAGCCATGATAACAGATACTATAACAAATAATGAGATTTGTCAGCCAGTTGCTCTGTCCAAGGCCTATCTGAAGTACGTCACATGTATGAATTCATTTGAGCCCCATGAGAACCCTATGAGCAGGGTGCTATTATTTTTTAAAATATATTTTATTGTTTTTTTACAGAGAGGAAGAGAGAGGAAGAGAGAGTTAGAAACATCGATGAGAGAGAAACATCAATCAGCTGCCGCCTTCACACCCCCTATTGAGGATGTGCCTGCAACCAAGATATATGACCTTGACAGGAATCGAACCTGGGACTCTTGAGTCCACAGGCCGATGCTCTATCCCCTGAGCCAAACTGGTTAGGACGCAGGGTCCTATCATTATCCCCATTTTGTAGGTGAGGAAACTGAGGCCCAGAGAAGTGAACTAACTTGTCCAAGGTCACGGCTGGTAAGTGGCAGAGTGGGCTGTGTTAGAACTTCTTCTGTTTCCAACATTCCCTGATCTGACTACCGGTATCATCAGGGCAAATCCTCTGGGCAATGCGTTTCTTTCTGACAACAAGTTTTGCAAATGACAGCTGCGAGTTTCCTCCATTTTAAGGCACCTGAGACACTGCAAATGTCCAATACATTTCCAGACGCTGAGCAGCCCTGGTGAAGGTGGTCACTGACCTGGTTCCTTACTTAACACAGTTCTGGGAGTCAGGTTTTTAAAACAGACCAAGTCTGTTAGGTTTTTTAAAATAGATCAAGCTTCTGCCTTTCTCAAGCAAACCTCTTCTCCTTTTGCCCTCCAAACCCTGGCAGGAGGGTGGCTCCAGGCCTGAACGTGGCTTCAGAGCTAAATTCCCAGCCGGGCTGAGCTGGCACGACCTGGCTGCTCAGACAGTCACCGTGTCTGAACAAAACCCAAGGCTGGGAGACGTGCCTGGTGCACGGAGCCTGCAATTAGGCCGTGACTGGATCGATTGATTGCTCTGGGATTAGATTCTGTGTGTTTAGCAAAGAGCTGAGCTCTGGCCAAGTTGCCAGGGTAATTTCCCTCTACACACTCCTGACAATGCATAGATAGCACAGCTGGTAGGTCCCGGGGCACGTGGGCAGGGGGTATGGGAAGGACTCACATACTGCCCACTTGCTCATGCCAGCCCTGGGCCGAGTACCTTCTAACATGGTCACATTCATTTCTCACAGCCACCCTGGCAGGACGCTATCCTTATTCCCGTTTAACAGATAAGAATATTGCATTTTAGAGAAAGGAGGACATCTGCCCAAGGTCAAAAAGGTGAATGGATGTCAGAGGTAGGATTTGAACCCAGGCCACTCCAGCCCACGGACAAGAACCTGGTGTGACACAGGTGTTGGGACTACAGAATGTTCAAGTACAAGCCTTCAGCAATCACCCTTCAGTCTCCTTTTCCTAGAAATGAGGACTGGGGCCCAGAGAGGGCAAGTGACTTGTGAAGGCCACACAGCCAGGCTGGCTGCCTCGGGACTCTCTGTGCACTGTCTCTTCATGGAAAGAGGGGGTTTTTATCTGAAAAGTGCATTCAAGTGGCAGTTCTGGATTTCTGGCAGATGTGGCTAGTCTCAGGGCTCGCTTACTCAGATTCCTCCTCTTCGGTTTCCTTCAGGCTCTCAAGGAACGTCTCTTCCAGGAGATCCAGCTCCCCTAAAGGCAGGCGGAGGAGGAAGGTCACGTGGCAGATGAGGACCCGGGCCCGAGCATCGTATCGCCCTCGAAAGAGAGAAACAACACGGGCAGGGAGTCAGTTTGCCTTTAAGAACAGAGACGTTAATAGCAGATAACAGATAAAACCCAAACCCTAGAAACATCCTAAACACGCAACCCATGAGAACCAGTCAATTAAACAATAGCACAGCTTCCTTGATGGAATATGTGCAACTATTAAAAATCTTAATCATTTTGGTGCTCGCTTCGGCAGCACATATACTAAAAATCTTAATCATTTTGATGATGTTGACTCTACCAATCAATGAACATGGTATGTTCTTCCATCTGTTTATGTCTTCCTTTATCTCTTTTTTCAGTGTCCTGTAGTTTTCCGAGTATAGGTCTTTTATCTCCTTAGTTAAATTTATTCCCAGGTATCTTAAAAGCAAGGTAGTACTTTTTCACCAAATTAGCAAAGGTCATTTTTTAAAAAAAAATCCCAAAGCTGTTAAGGAGGTGGTGAACACGGTGCTCAGGTGGGAGTGTGTAGTCTGACAATATTTATTTATTATTTATTAAATATATATTTTTATTGATTTTAGAGAGGAAGAGTGAGGGAGAGGGAGAAACATCGATGATGATAGAGAACCATTGATTGGTTGCCTCTCACAGACCCCACACTGGGGACTGAGCCCTGATAACCTGTTTCCTGACAGGGAATTAAAGTGACTTCCTGGTTCATAGGTCGACACTCAACCACTGAGACATGCTAGCCTGGCGATTGTGAAGTCTGACAATATTTATATCAAAAACTTAAAAAATGTGCATTTTCTCCTCCCCCCACCCCAAAATCATAGGGCCAGAAAGTAGAATGGTGGATACTGGGGAGGAAGGGCGTTGAAAAGGGGAGGATGAGGAACTATTGTTTAATGGAGACAGAGTCCCAGTTCTGCAAGATGAAGAGGGAGGGATGGTGGTGATGGTTCATCATGTAACTGTACCTAATGCCACTGAACTGTACACTTACAAATGGGCAAGGTGCTGAATTTTATGTTACATGTATTTTACCTGTTTAAAAACATGGGAAGAAGAGATGCATCCCCCTTGGCCCAGGAAGTCCGGTGGAAAGACAGGCTTCCATATTGGATCTTTTTGACAAAGAGGGGAAACCACAAGGACCTAGTATCCCGCTGCTCTGCACCCACCATCCTATAGGCTGTCTGATGACGTGCGCTGTCTAAAATGCACATCACAAAGTTCTGAGGAGAGGACACCTGTTCTATGACCAGCCCCAACGAATGTTACAGAATTGTCTCCTTTGCTGGGCAACCCTTTCTAATAAAGAGGGAATATGCTAATTGACCATCACACGCTCACAAAAGATGGCAGTACCCACAGCCAATAAGGAGGGAATATGTTAATTGACTGTCACACCCTCAAAGATGGCGGTGCCCACAGCCATAAGATGGCAGTGCCCAATCCTTTCAGCCCTGGTGGGTCCGGCCACTCTGTGCGCCTGCCTCCTTAGTTCCCAAGTCTCCTCTGCCCCTCAGCCACCCAGGACTGGCCTCAGGCGCAGGCCAGCTTTGGATGGCAGCTGTCCAGCCACCCAGGGCCAACTGAGGCTCAGGTAACCAGGGCCACCAAAGCTTGTGCTGCCGGCAGTGGCAGCAGCAGAGGTAGGATGGGGCCATCGCCTTCCCCTGATCACTGGGTCACCTCCCACCCCCGAGGGTTCCCAGACTTTAAGAGGGGGCAGGCCAGGCTGAGGGAAGCCCCCTCCAGTGCATGAATTTTCATGTATCAGTTCTCTAGGAATATTATACTAAAGTAGTAGTGGCTAGCCTTCGTCAAAATGCAGCCTCAAGTCCTGAAGTTTGAGGTGTCCTTGAACCTTCCTTGAACTAGGGTCCTCAGAGCAAGCTGCGGTCTGGCAGCATTTGCCCAGCCGCCCTTGGCTGCCTCCCTCGATGTGGAACTGTCTACGTGCTGGGGAACAGACACCTGCATGTTGTATCTTGGGGTTATTGAGTCAATTAAAGCTCCAAACAAAGGAGCTCGCTGTGCCTTCAGAGGATCAGACTATCGCACCAGGTGATAACCGAGCCGTGGAAATTAACCAAGCCTTGGCCGTGGTGGCTTAATTGGTAGCAATTATAATTAGTGACTAATTTTTATTCCATTTGTTAAGGCTGCAGTGGAACGGGCTGCCAGGGGCACAGGTAATCTCCCAAGGTATTCTCAGGCACGGGGCTCTCAGTGGCAGCCTCGTGGAAGGGTCACTTCAAGGATCTTGGTGGCCAGGCTGCTGGACTTGGGGCTGACAACCCAGAGCTGATGAGGGGTTGACAAAATCAGCATAAAACACAGGCACTCGGTGAGGATCAGCTATGGTTAAATTTACTCCCAGGGCCCAGCATGCACTGGGTGCTCAGTTCCCATTTGCTGAATGGATGGTCCAGCCAGTGTTAATGCTGGTAACAACGCTCTAGCATTAGGATGGAGAACCCAGCAACCAGGAGACAATGTTTGCCTTTCACCATGACCGGAGACCAGTATCTCTAACCCTTCTGATTCATCAGGGAGGCAGGGCTTTTGTTTCAAGAATAAAGACCAAGCCAGAGAGGAGAGCCAAGTTTGCGGCAGGGACTGCTCCGTCCCATGCAGCATGCACCTCCACAGGCCCCTTGGCCTAGAGTTGATGCCATCTTTGGCTTCAGAGTTCAGAGGGCAAAAACCACGATTCAAGTTTAAGTCTCCAGGGCACCAACGCAGAGTTCACGAGGAGACCAGCTTTGCCTTAAATGGCATTTTGAATGTCTGAAAGGTAGTCCTGGGCTACTTAACCTACCGAGTAGGCTCTGTTCTCCTGCCAGTGGGCATAACAGGACCGGCCTGGCAGTTGATCTGAGGATTAGATGCTATGCAATTCCTCACAAGCTGTGTTCGGGACCTAGAAGAGCAACTAGAATACCTTGTAAAGATTGCTGACTACAAATAAAGCAGCCCCACCTGAGATGGCCAAGTTTGGGTCCTAGAGCATTGGCTTCTGACCAGGGCTGTGTTTGCTGCGCACCCCCCAACTCCTCCCCCCCCCAGGTCCCCGAGAACATGTGACAATGTATGGAGACTTTTCTGGTTGTCACCACTCAGGAAGTGCTTCCGGTGTCTAATTAACTGGAGGCAGGGGGATGCAGTTAAGCATCCTACACTGCACAGGAGGGCCCCCCCCCAGAGAAGGACCCAGCCCCAATGGCCACTGTGCCAAGGGCCGAAAGCCTGGCTTAGAGTCAGCTCACATTCAAGTTAACCTTCAATACACAAAGGACGTCTTGTTTCCGTTGTGTGTGCTAAGAGCTTTGTGGGTTGTTACAGGATGAGGAGAAAAAAGTGATTAGCACCCCCCAAAAATTCCACTCAGCTGCCCAAATGGCATCGTTCGGTGACTCAGATCCCCATACTGTCCATAAAGGTCACCCTTCCAGGAAGTTCCGAGAAATGCAGCTTTTCATGTTGTTCTCCTGGGCTGATCTCATGACTCATCACCTGGCCTCACACCCGAGGGAAATCCAGACAGAGCCTCCTCCCCCGCTGTGTGCCCACCTCATCAATGTCTGCAGCAGAGATTGAACCCTGCGAGTGCGTAAGCTTGTCCCCCGAAGAAAGGCCATCTGTCCATCCTACCTGTCCTTCCATCCATCCATCCCCTTATCCATCCATGAATGCATGCATTCATATATCCATCATCCTATCCATTTATCCTTGCATCTGTCTGTCTATCCGTCCATCCGTCCATCCATCCATCCATTTATCCATCCATCTATCCATCCAGTACTAAATGCCCACTGTATGCCCAAAAGTGCTGTAGATGCTGAGATGCAATGATATGCAATCCAGACAAGGCCCTGCCCTCATGGAGTCTGTGAGGAGGGACTTGAATAGATGGCCCAACTATGACACTGTTCCAGACCCTCAGTGGATGCCAAACTGGGCAGTACTGAACTCCATATATGCCACATTTTTTCCTTTACATACAGACCTGTGAGGAAGTGTAATTTATAAATTAGGCACAGTAAGAGAGAAACAATAACTAGTAAGAAAAGAGAACAATTGTAACAATATACTGTAATAAAAGTTATGTGATGGTGGTTTCTCTCTGATAAACGATTTGATAAGTGAGGTGGCTATTCTGTGACTAATGGGAGGGTGGCATACATGGCACAGATATGCTGGACAAAGGGATGATTCACATCTCAGTCCTGCTCGGAGGGAGCAGGACTTCAAGAGTTCATCACATTACTCAGAATAGTGTGCAATTTAAAGCTATGAATTGCTTATTTTTGGAAATTTCCATTTAATATTTCGAACCATGGTACACCACGGGTCACTGAAATCATGGAAAGTAAAACTGCAGAGGAGGGGGGCAGATTACTGTCATTAAGTTAAAGATCTCAAGGTGAAGTCACCTTGCACAATGTCCTTATGAGAAACGTGCAGAGGAGAGGAAAGGAAGGGGGGAAGGGGGAGGAGGAAGCCCTGGAGGATGGAGGCAGAGACGGCAGTGATGCAGCCACAAGCTAAGGAGATGCAGCCATAGCCAAGGAGCACCTGGAGCTGTCAGCAGCTAAAGGCATGAGGGATTCTCGCCCAAAGCCTTCAGAGAGAGCAGGACCCGGCTGACACCTTGCTTTCTCACTTTTGTCCTCCAGGACTGTGAGAGAATACATTTCTGTTGCTTTAAGCCACCCATCTAAGGAACTTGGTTACAACAGCCCTAGGAAACGGATGTAGTGAAATCCTGAACTGCCACTTATGAGCAAGCATGGGTAAAGTGCTAACCCGCTCTAAGCCAACATCCTCATCCATAAAACAGAACACTAGGATCCATCCCATTAATTCTTCTAAGGATGTTTGCGGAGTGTTTACTATGTGCAAGTATGTGGTAAAGAAAACTAGGCATGGCTCTGCCCCCATGGAGCTGACGGTGGGAGGGCAAACCAGTCACCAAGCAAAGCAGCATGCAGCTGGGTGTTCAACCTTGGCGGACATCATACCGAGGCGTGGCGGGGGCTTTCCCTGGGAAGTGGTGACTGAGCGGAGGGATGAGGGAGAGGGAGAGAGCATCGGGGCAAGAGGAGCAGCACTTTCTCCAGCCAGGGGAGGGCCACGTGCAAAGACCCATGGTGCCAGGAGCAGGTGCACTCAAGAGGGGAGGGCGTGTGTGGTAAGAGGTGAGGAGGGGGAGGGGCCAGCCCACCAGGAGGCAGGGGAGTGGCCCCTGGTAGGAGCCAGGAGGCAGCATGGTGGATGTGCAGGGTGGAGGCCAAACTGCAGGCCAGAGTGATGGCAGGAGACTCCTGCTGTCATCCAGGAGGAGGTGATGGTGGCTCAGACCAGGGTGGCGGGTGTAGATGAAGACGGGGCCGGATTAAAGAACTACTTAGAAGGCAAACCACAGGCATGGCGAGGAAGAAATGAAGTAACCGCTAAGAAGTGCCCCACAGTGCTTGACACGAATGAAGTGCTTCCGGCTCCCCGGCTTGTACCAAAATGACCACAGGGAACCTTCCCTTCCTTGTGCCAAAATGACCACAGGGAACCAGGCCATGGGTGGCAGCCCATCCCCGGCTTTCCCGGGGGAAGATGAGAACCCACAATTCACGGAGCGTAGAGAATCAACTCACCGTCCTTGAGGGAGAAGCTCAGCAGGTCCTGGGGGAAAGGAACAGAAATGGGCAGTAAGTTGATATGTAATCAGCCTGCTCATGTGACACACATGTATTGACGCCTACTAAGTGGGAGAACAAGACAGGCGACATCTCTGCCTTATACTCCAGTGGCGAGCCAGACAAACGAGTAAGCAAAAGACGAGTGTGTGAGCACTTCGGGGAGTGAAATGAAGTTGACCCACCAGCAGCCCCTGTCACAAGCTGCCTGTTTTCACTGCACGCAGAGCCAGGGAGGGACATGCCCAAGGGCACCCAGCAGAGCTGCAGCTTCTGAACAAAAGCACCACAGCGTGACAGCAGGAGCCGCGGCTCTGGAATCAGAGTGCCAGGTTCAGCCACGTGTGAGCTGCATGACCTTGAACAACGAGGTACTTAATCTCCATATACCTCTGTTTTCTCATCTACAAATGGGGAATGCACCTTGACCGGTTTGGCTCAGTGGATAGAGCGTCGGTCTGCGGACTCAGGTGTCCCAGGTTCGATTCCCATCAAGGGCATGTACCTTGGTTGCGGGCACATCCCCAGTAGGGGGTGTGCAGGAGGCAGCTGGTCGATGTCTCTCTCTCATCGATGTTTCTAGCTCTCTCTCCCTCTCCCTTCTTCTTTGTAAAAAAATCAATAAAATTATTTTTTTTAAAACGGGAATGCTCATCTAATTGCTTTGAGAATTAAAAGTTAATATTTGTAAAGGTACTAGCACATATGAAACACTATTTAACTAAAACATGAAATCAATAGAAGATATTCAATAATGATCACTTAACATAGCTATGATTATCATCATCATTATACGTTATTCTTATGAAATATTTTATCTTCCAACTCCCACTAGAAACAATCATCAGCCTGACTTAGAAAACCTTTTGTTCTGGTTGCCCTGGCAGCCGCCACCCGGGGGGTGGGTGTACCTGGGTGATCACCAAGGGGTCGTCCTTCAAGACGGGGTCCTTCGTTAAGATCTGAGCAAACATGTCAGCTCCTTCGCCTCCCAGGCCGCTGGCAAACGCAGTCATGGTTGGCAGGACGGCTTCGGACAACTCCAGCCACTTGGCCAGGCCCGTCACAAACTCTATGCAGAAGGAGCTGAAAGACAGACACGATTCAGATCCGAAAGTTTCCTGACTGCACTTGGCAAGGCCGTTGGGAAGCTCAGAGGAGCCACGTTCATAATGGAAACAGCCAGCATATCTGACATCACCGTGGTGCCTGCGGTCCACAGGATACAGAGGGGCCCAAACCTCACTTCAGGTGGCAGGATTCTAGCTTCTTCCCCCACCAAACCTCTGACCAACGAGGCTGATAAACCACAGGAATGAGGCCAGAGAGCCGTTCCTGACCACATGCCCCCAGCCTGGCCTGGGCTGGGCTGTGCTGGGGACTGAGGAACCGGAGAGAGCGAGATGCAGCCTCTGATGAGCAGCTCACAGCGCGGGGACACAGGGAAACAACACACTCATCCCGGTGGCGTGAGGTCTGCGAGGAGAGGGGCAGGGATCGAGCCCTGGTGAGCCCCGAGGGAGCCCCACAACAGCTGAAAAGGTGAGGAACAGCGACTAGAAAAGGGTTCCCACAGAAGGAAACTTGCCGCTGTTGGGGAGCACCCAGATGTGCTTTCTCAGGAAAAGTTGGTCACTCAGAAGCAGATAAAGCGCAAAGTCTGTCTTCCCCATGCCCACTGCCCCTATGGGCCTCTCTCCACAGCAGGCTTTGGAGTTGAGTCCCCAGGAGTCCCTGGATGGAGGATGGCTGGATCACTCTAGGGGAGAAGGAGCCCTCGAAGCTGAGATATGGCATTTGGGGATACATCAGGCTTTAAAGTTTCTGCTCGTGGCAGCGAGAACGGTGAGCACAGTGGGTGCAGGAGATGGGGAGCATGAGCATTAGTTAGGAGGTGATCACACCAGCCCAGAGTCAGGCCTCTCTCTAGCAGCCCAGCCTGCCTCGCCCCCACTGTCCTGGGGCTCCCTGTCCTGGGTCCTACACCCCTCGTGCTGGCCAGATAGGGTGGAATCAGGCCTCTGAGGGACAAGCAGAGCTCCCCGGTGGCGGGGACAATGTCTGAAGGCCTCCTGCTTGCACCACCTGGTTCCCCAGGCCCACGGGTCCCAGGCAGCCCTCCCATCCTGGTCCTCGGAGCTGGGGTGGCCGAAGCCCAGTGCAGAGAGTGTTGCAGGCCAGGCCCTCGGCAGGAGTGGTGAAATGCTCAGGTTCCAACCCTGGTCCACCCCTATTACAGCCCAGGTCCCCAGGAGGCAGCTCTGAGGTGATTACAGTATTCGGGTCCCCTTGGGGCCGGTGCCTATGGGCGGGCAGGAAGGAGGCAGGAGCGGGCAGGGAGCAGCGGAGTTGCCAGGCAGCCTCTGCGGAAGCTTCAGGCAGCCCTGCAGGGAGTTCTGAAGATGAGTGACCTTTCAGAGCCGCGGGGGGGCGAGAGTGCTGGGCTTTATGCCGCCACTTCTGCCAGCCATCGGATACTGGCTGCCCCCGGAAGGGGATAGGACCGAGGGCGAGGGGTCTTGCTTCCGCTGTGACAGGCCCAGGCAGTGCTGGCAGCCCTCTCAGCAGCCAGGGGACAGTCTTTCATTCTTAAAAGGGCATCTGGGCGATGGAGCACCTTGCAAAAGTAACTTGACTTCTCTGGGCCTCAGTTTCCTTATCTGAAATGGGTTTAAGAGATCAACTTCAGCCCTGGCCAGTGTGGTTCAGTGGGTTGGGTGTTGTTCTGGGCACCAAAAGGTTGCTGGTTCAATTCCTGGTCAGGGCACATATATACCCAGATTTGGGGCTCAATCCCCAGGAGGGGACATGCAGGAAGCAGCTAATTGATGTTTTCTCTCTCTCTTCTCTTCCTTCCTCTCTAAAATCAGTAAAAATATGCTGAGAGAGAGAGAGAGAGAGAGAGAGAGAGAGAGAGAGAGAGAGAGAGAGAGGGAGGGAGGGAGGGAGATATCAACTTCATAAGATTGTTTGAAGCTAAATGAGATGATACATATGAAACACCCAGAGGAAGGCTTGGTATGGAGTAGCTGTCCAGCTTATGTTAGCTAGCGGCATTACTTTTATTTATAAGCCAGCCAAGAGAGATAGTGGAGAACAGGGTGCAGAGTCAAAGGCCCCCTTGGGGAGTCGCCTTCCTGCCTTTTCTTCATTTTTCTCTGCTGTCAAATGCAGAGGGTAACAGGCATGCCTTGTAGGTTGGTTGGAAAGATTAAATGCCACAGTAACAGCGCCTGGCACCCGATAACCCTCAGTAAATGTTAGCTACTGCTATTACAATCACGTGATGGAACTCGCTGCCATTACCGGGGTTACCCGGGATGGGGTGTGGGTGGGTTCGGGGCCCAGGGATGACTCTGTGAACTGAAGAGCACTCAGGAATAACCTCATCGGGGCTGAGGGCAGCAGCGTGGCCCCGTGTCCGCGGAGAACGTCTTGGATGCAGAGAAGCATCTCCTAACAAGAGTGGAGGCAAGTGAACAGCTCTGCCACTGGCTGTGTGACCTTGGACAAGTTACCTAACCTCTCTGTGCTTCAGTTTCTTTGTCTGTAAAACAGGTGATAATGACGAAACCTATTTCATAGGGTTGTTAAAAGGATCAACTAAGTTAACATCTGCCGTGTGTTTAGAATACTACCTGGCACATATAAGGCACTCTATATGTTTCTTTAAATGAGCAACGGAATTAATAAATATATATGTAAAGTGGCAGTACAACAATCTATAATAATGAATCCATAATATGCAAATCACCCGAACAACTGAACAGCAGAACGACCGTCTGCATGACCTTCCGGACACCCATGTTATGACATGCACTGGCACTAGGCCAGACAAGGCAGGTGTGATGAGATTGGTTGGGGGTCCCCTCACCATCGCCCCACAATCACCCCACAGAGGGAGGCCCAGGCCTACGGCCAGCAATGCTGTGGTGGGTGTACAGAGCGGCCAGTGATCACCCTTTGAGAGAGACTCAGGCCAGCCAAACAATTGTACCCCATGCCTGTTACCCACAGAGGGAGGCACCGCAGCTCTGCACAGAGGATAAGCAGAGGCAGAGGTGAGGGCGAGGCCAGCTGCCAGCAGCTGGGGGAAGGAAAGCCCTGATAGGCCCTGATCAAAGGCCAGGCCTAAGGACCCTCCCCCAGGGGTCCCGGATTGCGAGAGGGCACAGGCATTTTAGATGGACGGAGCCTTGGGAACTGTCTGAAGCGGTGGGTGGTCTCATTGAGATACAAGAAAATCAACAGCAGCAATGACAGTCACAGAGCAGCCATCCCTCAGTCCCTGTGCACATTGCCTGTTTCCTTCCCACCAGTCCCCATGAGGGAGGAAGGTACTGCTTTCACCCCCATGCTAGGTATAAGGACACCCAGGCCCGGAGGGGTATGGGCAGCTCCAGGGTTCAAGGCCACCACCGTCTGGCTCCAGAGGCCACGCTTCCCCACTGTGGGACGGCCCTCTCCAGGGATTGCAGACCCGGGCCTCACCCTGTGCCAGGCGCTGGGGGAGCAGGTGCATCCAACGTTCCCTTTCATCCTCGCCGCACCTGGCAGGTGGCGGCCTGGGCCACAGAGATTAAACGCCTTATCAAGGGCGCCACTGATGAGAAGGGCAGAGCTTCGCCCGGAGTCCAGGGAGCCTGAACTTGAGTCCAGAGCTCCTCCTAGTCCCCAGGGGCCCGCACTCCACCAGGCCGTCACTTCTGGCCCGCAGCCCGTTCCCGCAGATTATGTTTTATTAGAACAATAAAACATAATCTGCAGGAAAGAAACCTTTGGTGGAAAGAAACCAAATCAGAAACTTTCAGGAAGGAATGCCCCAAGGCAAATGCTTCCAGCCCCATGTGCTTAGAACTTATGGGGGGGGGAGGGGCGGAATGGGGGGAGACCCCGGACAATAACCCACTTTCCTACGTGCTCTCCCAGGCACTGGCCTGGCACACTGTCTAGGCTCATGCATGTTTGCTTATGTGAACAAAACACACAGAGCTCTTCCCCATCTATGCATCAGCGTATCAGGCAGGGGATGATCAGGCCAGAGGAAGCTTCTGGAAAAATGGAGGTTTCCCAGATAAGGCACAGGCAGGAGCAGGGAAGAGTTGGGCCTTTCAGGGAACAGAATATCCAACGAGATATAGTCTAACCTCAGACAGAGGATGTGATTCCATTATTAATGGTGAGAATATTCAACATGTGTTGGGCAGTAGCTCGGCTCTGCAGGGCCACCCACACATTCCCTCCTCACAAGAGCCCTCTCTGATGGTGCTGCTTCTCTGAGGCAGTGACTCCCAACAGAACCCCCTTCCTGGCCGCCAGAACCTGTGGATGTCAGGAATGGCAAGGGCTTTGATTCTTCCCCAGACCCCACACCTTGCAGGTGAGGCTCGGGCAAGTGACTGGATCTAGCCAGAATCCTTCGTGGATTATTCTGGGAGAGATTTCCTCCTGATGAGAGAGATTGAGGGGAATCCCTGCCCACCTCCTTTGTGCCCCGGGCCTTTTCCTGTGAGGAGGCCAGGTGTGGAGCGGAGCAGCCATGTTGTGATCAGGAGGAGAAGGCTAAGAGAATGCGAGAAGCCGACCCAAAGGCTTTCTGAGGTACAGATCAAGCCTTTTGATTTCCTATTAAGTGAGGAGGGAAAACCTATTCTTTAAATCTCTGTTAGTGCAGTGTTCTGTTCCTTGCAGCTCCAAATACCCTGACTGGTAGAAAGAAGTTCCCTATTATCTCCATTTTACAGATGAGGGAACTGGGGCAAATACAATAAGCCCCAGTGTTAGCAAGTAATCAGTACATTTATTGAACACCTACTATGTGCTAGCATTGTGCTACATTATCTAATCCACCCCCTCCATTTTATACATACATACACACACACACACACAACACACACACACATACACATACACACACACACACACACACACACACTCACTGAGTGGCCAGATTATTATGATCTCTGAACACATAATAATCTGGCCATCAGTGTATATCCTATAAATTAAAGGCTAATATGCAAATTGTCCCCTCAACCAGGAGTTCGAGCAGAAGGCCTGCCGGCCAACCGCCCATGTCCTCTTCCCCTAGCCAGGCTGGCTGGCCCCCACCCATGCATGAATTCATGCTGAGTGGCCAGATTATTATATGTCCAGAGATCATAATAATCTGGCCACTCTGTGTGTGTGTGTGTGTGTGTGTGTGTGTGTGTGTATGTACATATATATATACATGTCACTGTGTAAGTTTAAGGGATACAGCATAATGGTTTAACTTACATGTATTGTGAAATGATTACCACAATAGCTTTAGTTAGCTTGCAGCACCTCATATAAACACAATAAAAAGAGAAAGCATAAAAAGAACAAGTGTTTTCCTTTCGATGAGAACTCTTAGGATTGACTCTTTTAACAACTTTCCTGTGTATCACACATCAGTGTTGGCACAGTCATGCTGTATATTACATTCTTAGCACTTATTTATCTTGTATGGAAGTTTGTAGCTTTTACCTCCTTTCTTCAATCATTTAGTTCTTGTAATCACCCTGCAAGGGTGAGTATTATTAGCCCGTTCTGTCAGACCTAGCAGTTAGGTTTGAATCAGTCCTGACTGCTATACATTAGAACCCTCCCCCTCTCAGTCACTGTCCTGGTTTCCCGGGTGACTCCATCAGCCTCCTCACTGCCTCCTCCTGCTTCTAAACTCTTTCCCCATAGAATCATTGATGCCTTTCAAGGCCAAAGCCTGAGCTCTTCCCAAATCCTCTATTAGAATTTTAGATGTACATCTAATGCACGTGCTAGATATTGACAAAGGCAGATATTAACACTGTAATTCGAACTCTCACTCTTTTGCTCCCATGACATCCCATCTGTTCGCTATTACAATCAGTCACGTGTGTACCCTCCCCTTAATTATAAGCACCCAGAGGGCTGGAGCCACGCCTTGCTCTTCTTTGTTTTATCTACAGCAAGCATGTCAAACTCGCGGCCCACAAAGACTATCTTTGTGGCCCCGCCAACATAACGGTATGTAAGAAGTGTTTTAATAAAAATTTCACAACTTAATTTGTACAATATCCTGTTATACAAAATTATTAATAACAAACTACAACGTTCTCTAATGACTAATTATTATAATCGTGTTGCATTCATTTCCCTTATGCACCTTATGCGCAGGCACAACATTCCTCTCCACTAATACTGGCAGCGAATATGTTAGCAGCCGATTGTGCCACATCTTTCGTCTTGCACTGACTTGCTTGGTGTGCACAACAGGAAGTATTTCACTTTTGGGGAACAAAAAACCAGGTTTATTTGTGTTACGCTTATTAATTTGTGAATTTATTCAGTGTCTGGTAAGTTAATGTTCAAGAAAAAATATTAATTTTTATTAAAATGTTCTATATTTTATGTTAATGATTATTCATATATTTCAGCCTTTTGTATTCAGCATGTCTGTATTGAAATAAACCTATGTTTCTATGAAAATTGAAGCTTTTGCAGTCCGCATAAACTTAAACATTGTTTATTTGGCCCATGTTAGCCTTTGAGTTCAACATGCTTGAACAGGGTCTTGTGGTACACACAGCACACAGTAGGAGTTCAATAAGTGCAAATCACATCAATGAATAGATATCTCATTCCCCTATTAAACTGGGTCATACCTGAGGGCAAGGGGTTCTGTCTGCTTTGTTCACCTATACCTTCTCTGTACTTCAAATGATGGCTGGCACACAGTAGGTGCTCAGAAAATGCTTGGTGAAGGTATGAGTGCGGGATGAGAGGTCATATTCCCCTGTCAGGCTGTGAGCTCCTTAAAAGCAAGAACAATGACTCTCCCCCACTTGTGGGCTGCGTGGTGCCTCTGAGGACGCACGACCTTCCCTCTGTGAGACAAACGCACTCACCTTTGCTCAGGTTCTGGAAATAGCTGGGACAGGGATATGCCACAGAGGGCAGCATAGGCAAAGCGGTTGGCCTCGGACAGCTCCCGGCCCGTGGGCAGACGTGGGTCCCCCTCCGCAGCTGGCTCAGCCTCCTGATGCAGCTGGGGGCTGGGCCTGCCCCATGTGGCCATTTCCAGTCCTGTAGGAAAAAAAACCCAGTGAGCAATGTATCAGGGGTAGGTTACTTAATGGGACACAAAAATTCCCAACCCTGAGAGGAAAGGTTCCTTGAAATTAAGAACTTCATCATCCTTAAGAAAGTGAAAAGACATACCAAACACTAGTAGGAGATATTTTCAACTTAGAGGCTGAGATAATTGTGCTTATTAACCAAGACGGCATTTTATTAGGCTGATCTCCAGGGAGACCTACATTGGCTTTTAGTTCAAGATTAAACAACCTTGCCCGGCTTGTGTGAGCATTGGTTGTGCGTTGATTGAGCATTGACCCATGAACTAAGACATCAGTGGTTGGATTGCCGGTCAGGGCGCATGCACGAGTTGTGGGCTTGATCCCCATCTGGGGGCTGGATCAATGTTTCTCTCTCATAGATGTTCCCATTTCTCTCTCTCCCTCTTTCTCTAAAATCAATAAAAACATATTTTAAAAAAAGAATAAACAACCTTCTAATCAGAGAAGTGTGAGCTGGCCTGCTTCTAACCACAGCAAGAAGGGGAAATACAGAGGCAAATAGGTTTATAGTTGTACTTGAAACTCAAAGTTTATTTTGTATTATTATTTAATAATTATTATATGATTTTATATATGAACAGCCATAACATTCCCGCGCCCCGGACTTAATGCACAAAAGCTCAGCTCAGGCCAAATGCATTCATTCATTCAACAAATATACTCCTGAAGCCCTATAATCCGTCCTCTCCACAGTGGCCCACATGGCCTTTTTTTCACATACACCAACCCTGTCACTCGCCTGCTTAAAAGCCTCCGAAGGCTTCCCACGCACCAGGATGAGTACAATCCTCTTCGGATGGCCTACAACTCCCTGTGTGAGAGCCCCGCCCGCCCCCAACCTTCTCATGCCCCCCACGCCCAGCTTGTTCACTATACTGCGGCCACACTGGCTGTCTTTCTTTTCTTTTTTCTTTTTTTTAAAATTAATATATTTTATTGATCTTTTTCACACAGAGAGGAAGGGAGAGGGATAGATAGCTAGAAACATCGATGAAAGAGAATCATCGACCAGCTGCCTCCTGCACACCCCCTACCGGGGATGTGCCCGCAACCAAGGTACATGCCCTTAACTGGAATCGAACCTGGGACCCTTCAGTCCGCAGCCCGATGCTCTATCCACTGAGCCAAACCGGTTTCAGCCACACTGGCTGTCTTTCTGCTCTTCCAACACCCACACCAGTCTCCTTCCATTGCCATTCCCCTGCCTGAGACACTCCTCCCCTGACCTTGACATCCTTTGGCCTCAGCCCGAATGTCTTCAGGCTAAAGTTCTTCTGCCCCTCTCTCCCAGCATCCTGTCTAGTTTCATAATACTTAGCTCTATCTTAAATAATATATTTTAAAATATTCTGTCTGTATACATATTTACTTATGTATACAAACAGAATATCTGTTTTTCAAAGCAGGCCCCTGGTTATTTCCTCACGGGTGTACCCCAGATTTCGGAGCAGGCCCTGAATATTATAGGTATTCAATTAACTACTTGCTGGATGAATGAAGAAGGATATATGATATATGATGTCCTATTCTGGGCCTTGGGGCAGATCAGGGGACAAAACTGACAAATTCCCTGCTCTCCAGGGGCTTATGTTCTGTGGGACACAGGAGATAATAATAATACACCAATACATAATGATAATAATAATTTAAATAATTTGCCCAAGATTACATAGCTAGTAAGTGGTGGAATCAAGATTTGCATTTGAGTGGTCTGTTTATAGGATCCATGCCTTTAACAGTCAGCCAAATAAATCAGTAAGCATTTGGTCAGGAAGTGGTCATGGGGGCGGGGCCCAATTAGGCAGAGAGGGGATAGGAAGTGATGGGCAGGAGGGACGTGGCTGTGGTCTGCAGATGACAGGTGCCCTTCCAACAGAGGCGGCAGGAAATAAAGGGGACAGCCCTGCTGATAGGGGGGGAGAGTAATCAGGTGAAGAAACAGGACAGTAGAAGAGACAGACAAGTAAACAGACGATGACAAACCAGCAGACTAAATGCAGTGAAGAAGGAAACATATAGAGAGGGGTAAAAAGAAGGCGCCTGGAATGTAGAATTGGCTTCCTGGAGAAGGTGATGTCAGACAGGGGTGGGGTGGGGAGGAAGAACATGTTTTGGGCAAAGGGTAGAAGGGAGGAAATGCTTTTTAAGAGCCCTGAAGATGCTCAGTGCAGCCAGGGTTTGAGCGAGTGGGTGTGGAGAGGTAGACGAGATCGGAAGGGATGTTGCCGGAGCCAGACCCTGACAGATGAAGTTCTCTCAGCTAAGGAGTCAGACTGAACTGTAAGGCCATGGCCATGCTGGGAGCTGTGAGGATATGCAGGACCTTCCATACTATTTTTACAACTGCCTGTAGTCTATAATTATTTTAAAATAAAAAGTTAAAAAAATAAAAAGTGCCGAAACCGGTTTGGCTCAGTGGATAGAGCATCAGCCTCTGGACTGAAAGGTCCCAGGTTCGATTCCAGTCAAGGGCATGTACCTTGGTTGTGGGCACATCCCCCGTAGGGGGTGTGCAAGAGGCAGCTGATCGATGTCTCTCTCTCATCGATGTTTCTAGCTCTCTATCCTTCTCCCTTCCTCTCTGTAAAAAATCAATAAAATATATTTAAAAAAATCAATCAATCAATCAATAAATAGCAGTGGAGTGTCTCTATAGAATTTGAAAGACCTTTTCTTAAGGTCTAAGTAAACTAAAAATAAAAATTCACCACCTCCCAGAATTAACCAGTTAGTGAATTTAATAAACACGTATTGCCCTACTATGTGCCAGGACTGTCCTGCATGCTGGGGACACAGCAGTGACTAAGACAGACAGACAACAACGCTCCATCACGGAGCTGTATTCCAGCGGGGCAGACAACAATGTGTAAACTCAGCACATTTACAAAAAGACCATTTGAAACAATGATGAGGGTTCTGAAGGGAAAGAAACCTTAATAATATTTACCCAGATTTCAAGAAACAACTGTGGGCCTCCCCTCACAGTCTCAAAACAGCTGCCAGCTTCTGGATGGTTCTTCTGGGAAATATGCAAATTGTCCCGGAAGAGCAAACCAGAAAAACCAGCCTGTGGGTCCACAGGGCGTGGAGACTGGAGGCTTGTGGGAGACAGGGATCCGGTTCCCCAGGCTCAGGAAGTCTCGCTACTTCTTTCCTCTGGGCCTTTGCCCCGCAGGTCCCTCTACCTGGGATCTCCTTCTCAGTAGGGCTTCAGGCAGCCCTGGACTTTGCTGGAACTGTCTATTCTAACTCCTCGTACCCTGAGCTGTGGTTGCTGAACTAATTCCTTGGTTAGCTTGGCAGTAGAGGGCAGACACCGGATCCCTTCCATTCCCATGCCCAACCCTTACCTGCCATAGACTGAGTGATGAGAAAATGCCTGCTACGTGAATGGATGGATAGATGGATAAATGAATTAGTTTCGGAGGCTTACACGAGAGCTAGATTTTCCTGGTTATTTCTCTCCTATTCTTACCCTCCCACGGAGCATCAGATGAAGGACAGAGATGGAACAAGGGCCAAGTGTCTGAATTACCCAGGGATGTGCCAGAACCCCAAACCCAGGGTTCCCCAAAGCTTCAAATAACCTGAACTTCATCCTAATGGCCTGTTTTCATCCCAAGCAACTAGAATATTATTTTCTGCCTCTTTAAGCCTCCAGAGGGTTTGTAGTAAGTTAGCAGTGATAACACCCTTCCCCTGGATGTTCACCTTCTATGGGGCATGGGAATGTGGCTGCACCATGCCTTACGAACAAAGAGAATCAAGCTACAAGTCCAACCATATTAAAAAGTGCAGAGAAGAAAAATGGCTGGGAGAATATCCTCCAAAATTATTTCTGAAGTTGAGATGCCAGAGAATTTTCTGGATTCCCCAACTTTCTGCCATATAGATGTACTAGTTTTGCACTTAGTGCAAAAAAAATTTATTTTATGTCTCTATCCATAGCGAGGGGACTGTTAGGATTTGTATCAGGATGGTGACAGAGGCTGTCTCTAAGCAGGGGGAGGGAAGGATTGATTGTAGATTATTTTTAAAATTTCCTTTTATGTTTCTGCTTTATGAATTTTTAATCATGAGCATGTACTGGTTTTAAAATCAGAAAAAAAATAGATGCGATTTTAAATTAGAATATGGTGTGCTGCTACAGGCTCATACTGGCTGGTGAGAAGTAATGCTAGTGCCTTGAAATGGTTCCTGACGGGAGTATTTACACCACAGGGATTGGCAATTGTTACAAATGAGGAATTTTATTTTTCAGAGAGGTGGTGAATAGCATACCAATGTCTATATGATAAAATTCCAGTTATGCTTTTAAAAATGTTTCATGGAGCAAGAAGATCACAAGGAACTACATTGGAATGTTAACGATCATTGTCTCTCAGGGGTAGGGCTGTGGGACAAGAAGTAACTGGTATGTGTTCTTTCCATTTTTTTTGGTATTTTTAACATTTTCTGTCACAAGCTTATTGGTGCTTTTATCATAGAAAAAACAGCTTTAATTAAAAAATGCCAATTCTGTTCTTAATCCCTAGAAGGGGAGTGCTTTATCTCAGAGTCCGGCCCTGTGCGGACCAGCCGAGCCTTGCCGGCCTGAGGTCACAGTTAAGTCCCACTCCTCTGACCAACAGGTTTTGTTATCAACAAAAAGGATATAAGGGTTGGCTAGACAGACAGGGATTTCCAGCCATCCACTATGGCGGGATGGAGGAGAGATATTTGTGGAATGTCTGTCTACCCCCACTACTGACAAAAATACCGCAGCCAGTGTTTTCTTTGGTGGCGGGTAATGTGACTGGCAAAACCATAGTCATAGGGCATCGAGACAAGGTCCTAGACAAGACAAGGTCCCTGTCCATCCCATAGCTGGTCTCTGCAGTCTGGCCATGGTTCAGTGTTCGCTTGCTCTTCTCACTGTGTCTTTGCTGTTTCTCTGAGC